CAGACTAGAATAATTTATCTCAATTTTCTAATCAACTTTCCCTCAGGAAAAGGAGTACAAACGGTGATCATTTCTGAACTACCATGAATAGAAGAGAGAATGATGGGGAAAAGCAATGAATTAACTGAGTTTTCATCTCTCTAATCTGCCATTCACCAGCTTCGGGACTGAACAAGTTTCTTCATCTCTCCAAGCCTGAGTTTCTCTTTATCTGTGTTAGGAATCCAACTGCGCATCTAATGAGTTCAAAGCTCTTTGAAAAGAGCTATTTATTCAGAAAATACTCATCCAGAGCTATGGTTTTGCTAGAAAATGGAGATACAAGGAACAAACACACACACACACTCCTTCCCCTCCAACTAATAATCTCATGCAAAAGCCAATCACAACCAGCATAGCTGTGGCAGCAGAAAGGAGCATAGCATACACTGCAATCACACTGTCCAGCAGTTAGAGGAGGAGAAGGGAATCTGTGGGAGGCTACCCAGAGACACAGCCAAAAAGAAACATCTAATCTAACAACAGAGATAAGCCTGTAGTTGGTGGCTCCGTTGGTAAAGAATCTGCCTATAATGCAAGAGGCCTGGGTTTGATCCTGGAGAAGGAAACGGCAACCCACTCCAGTATTCTTGCCTAGGGAAATCTCATGGACACAGGAGCCTGGCAGGCTACACAGTCCATTGCAAGAGTTGGATACAACTCAGGAACTAAACCACCACCATATATTAAGACAGCATTACAGGGTACTTCCCTGGTGATCCAGTGGCTAAGACTCTGTGCTCCCAATGCAGGGAGCCCGGGTTCAATCCCTGGTCAGGGAACTAGACCCCACATGCCGCAATTCAAGAGTTCACATGCCACAACTAGGGCTTCCCTGGCGGCTCAGACAGTAAAGAATCGGCCTGCCATGCAGGAGACCTGGGATCAATCCCTGGGTTGGGAAGATCCCCTGGAGGAGGGCATGGCAACCCACTCTAGTATTCTTGCCTGGAGAATCCCATGGACAGAGAAGCCTGGTGGGCCACAGTCCATGGAGTCACAAAGAGTGAGATACGACTGAGCAACTAAGCACATGCCACAACTAAGACCAGGTAAGTGTGTCCATGGGCCAGCATCATCTCCATCACCTGGGAGCTTTTAAACTACTCTTGCTGAATTCCACGCTTAGTGAATCAGAATCTGCATTTTTAAAGGTTCCCAGGTGACCCGCATGCTTACTCTCTGACAAGTACTGATAGAGGGGTAACTATTTCCTGAGAACTTCAAATTGATTTCTTGAGGTCCTCGTTCAACCAAGTTGCAATCTACAGGGAGTATTAAAACTAGATGAAGAAAAAAAAAACCTAGATGGACTTTCATCATTTAAAACATCACTTTAGTAGATGAAGATAAAACAGGAAAAGGTATGTTATCTAAGTCTTCAAAATAGCTGTTTAGGAAAATCAAGCTTTCTTTTCAGATGCTTTTGGCAAAAACCATCTCACAATATCTCATCCTTTCCAGGTCTGGCATCCTACTCCCCAAACACTGTTCACACAAGTCCTGTTTTTTCCCAAGGCTCTCTCCCTGGATAACATTTTTCTCCTGTAGTTCTAGAAACAGATCAGAAGAGAAATAAGGGGACTCAGAAAGGAAATGCTGAGGCTTATTAATTGACTTCACTTTTTATCTAGGGTGAGCACTTCTAGGCCTTCAACTGAGTAATGATGTCTGAGGAGTTGGTCCACGTGTGACCAAAGCAGCACTCTTTGCTAGGGGTGGAAGAAAAGGACAAAGAACCACCCCAACACAGCCTGGACCAACAAAACCAGAAGCTGATTTTAAATAAACCTAATCATTTATACTTCTAACTTTCACTATCCATATTCAAGAGGGTAGAAAGAACCTTAATAGGCAACGCAATTATCTTCTCCAGTCTTTCTCTGGTAACAATACAACACTGAGGTCAAGTGACCAAAAAATGAGCACTGAGTAAAAACACATTTCTCCCCAATCCTATAAAGTCAGTACCCAAATGATAAAATGTTGACTATACCTACTTGATTACACACTTCCCAAAATTAACTCCCAACGAATTCAGTAACATACGTATTTCCACAATCCTCTTACTCACTATAAATTAACCAAGTATGTCTGGATATAAGATGGAAGTTATATCACTCAAATATACACTAAATGCTCCTCTTTTCAAAGCCTGACTATCCTAGCCATAAATTCAAACTTATCATATGACACCTGAAAGAATGTTTGGCATTTATTATTATTTTTTGGTATACTTTTACCACATAAGCACATATCCTCAAACTAATAAGTATCAACTGGGGGCAATCCTGCTCCCTAGGGGGCACGGCACTATCTGAAATATTCTGGGTTATCATGTCTACAACCAGTGGGTAGAGGCGCGTGCACAGGGCAGCCCCCAGTAAAGAATTATCTAATCAGTTCCAAACAGCAATAGTGCCAACACTGAGAAACCTTGTCCCAAACAGTAAACAGGACTATTCTACATTTTAACATATCAGACGTTTTCTTCAATAACAAACTTTACTTTCTTGCGTTATTTGCTTAACACTAATTTTCTATAGGGGTTTTAAAAATGTTTGCTAACAGCATCCAATGAACAAGATGAACTGATACATACCAATAGATTAAATAATGTGTAAAATTATCTTGTAAACTAAGATTTTTAAACCTCTGAAAAATACCTGTTTTTACATAACTATTTATAGGACAGATATATTCCATACTATAAAACATACAGGGTGGGAAGACCCAGAGGGATCGGGTGGAGAGGGAGGTGGGAGGGGGGACCGGGATGGGGAATACATGTAAATCCATGGCTAATTCATTTCAATGTATGACAAAAACCACTGCAATGATGTAAAGTAATTAGCATCCAACTAATAAAAATAAATGGAAAAAAAAATAGGAAGACAAAAAAAAAACATACAGGGAACAGGAATATCCCTTCAAAACCTGCTGCAGTACAGGATTTGATACACTTTACCTTTACCCTGGGGAGATATTTAAAATTCCCCATAACCTATCATTACGGATCCCAAGATGCCTTCAAATTGTTGAGTTGTGGTCAAAGTTTAGCTTACCCTAGCAGGATAAAATTTTAATTAAGAGTGTCCAGAAACAAGAATATGCCCCATACAGTGTTGTTAGGAGGGCAAATTGGTAAAAATGTCTCTGCAGGGCATTTAGTCAACATCTACCAAAAGTTACATATATGTACCCTTTAATGTGGCAATTCCACTTCCCAAGTGCTCAGTACACATGCATATACATGTTCAAGGACTTATTCAGAACATCATTGTAAGTAAGACCTGGAACAATACAAATGTCCATCAACACAGCATTGGTTAAATCAAGTACTGCATACAATCACTGGAATATTATGCAGCTGTGAAATAATAAGGTAGACCTATCTATATTTGGGCTTCCCAGGTGGCAAGAGTGGGAAAGAACCTGCTTGCCAACACAGGAGACATAAGGGATGCAAGTTCGATCCCTGGATGGGGAAGATCCCCTGGAGAAAAGCATGACAAGCCGCTCCAGTATTCTTGCCTGGAGAATCCCAAGGACACAGGAGCATGGCAGGCTATACAGTCCATAGGGTTGCAAAGAGTGGGACACGACTGAATCGACTTAGCATAGCATAGTATAACAATCAATAATAGGTACTATTAAGTTAAGAAGCAGAAGTACATAAGAGAATAAAACAGTAGTTTCTTAACACTGTTTTAAAAGGGTTGCAGATTTATAATACATTGATATTTACATATGCTTGCAATGAGTATTCTGTAAGAACACACTGGTGGTCCCTTTCTGTACCGGGAAATCTTTTCTTTCGGCCCTGCACATAAATCTTCTGCAACATTTAAACAACCAGCTAAGAAACACAATTCTAGGCATTATCTATTCAATAACTGAATTGCCTTTGTGTTAATTTCCTTTCTACTGGCTGCTAACAATAACTATGTACCCATTTCAGGATCTGTTAGGTTTTGCAAAACTCAATCATAAAACTTTAGAAATAGCTAAAGCAGGCTGGAAACTATCAAATATGAAATCTGAAACTATTTCCTACTGTACAGGGTCCCAAGGATAAATCTACGTGAAAAATGAATTCGATTAAATTATTCTGAGAGCAAGCTTTCAGGTGATCACATTATAGAAAAATTCTAGAATCAGTAACCAACAGTTCCCTGAAACTTGGTGAATCGAGGACAATGACTCAGAGCCTTGTTAATGGATAAGTCCCTGCCTTAACCTTACAGATGAACTGAGATGTTAAAAGATACCTGGTGACCCCTATGCCTATCTTCCACTTGAGAGAGTATTTAACACAAAGAAAGGGTTCAATATTGAGACTGTTTTTCCTTCTATTGCTATAAAGATACACAATGAAACAATTAAGATGAAAAAGCAGTCCACAAGGTACGAAGTGGCATTCAGCTATTGAACTCCACGTCTTTCTGCATGTCAAAGGAGGAAGAAAGGGGATCGCAACAAAACCAAGGTACCAACGGCCCCAAGGCAATTGTTACCGGCCAACGAAACACCATATGGCAAAGCAAGCCTCCCTTCAGACACTTATCACTCGGCGGCTGATTAATTTCAATGGCTTTATTGGACAGGCCTCTCCAGATCCCTTCCCTGGAGGAGGAGGGGAGGGGTCTGTTGTCTTCCCGGCGCTTTGTGCCTTCCAGGCTTGAAAGCATCCGTGTACTGGTGTAGCCATCGTTTCCCTTGGGGACTGGGCGGAGGGAAGGGAGGGAAGGGTCGGGTCTTTTCTCCTGTAAGTTTGTGTTTACAAACCTAAAGGAACCTAAAATTCCCTCTGGCTCTTTCCCTAGCCGCTCCCTCCGGCCGGGCGCGGCGGGGGAGGCGTTGGACCGTGGGGCTTCGCCCAGGCCGCCCGACGCCCCCCGGCCCACCCCGCATCGCCCCCGCCCCACGCGCAGGCCCCGAGCCCCGGGGGCCGCCCTTACCCGTGGGCGCGCTGTCCAGGATGCGCAAGTCGTAGGCCCCGGAACAGCGGTAGTTGGCGGCCGTGCCGTTGTCCCACACCACCACCACCTCCTCGGGGCTCTCGAAGCTCCGGACCGTGCCCACATGGCCCTCGCCGCCGTCCTGCTTCCCCCACTTCCAGTCCGGGCCGCGCACTACGCGGGCCCCGACCCCTTCCACCATCACCCGGTTATTCCTGGAGTTACTCATCGGGGCCCGAGCCGCGGGCTCCGCCGCCGCCGCCGCCGCCGGGGGGCCCGTAAGGGAGTTGGGCCCGGGCCGGACTCTCGGCGCCGGCGGGGGCGGCAGCGAGCCCCGGGGGACGTGGGAATAACTCACGGGGGCGGCGGCGCGGTCCCCACCGAGCCCGCAGCCACTCCCCAGCCGTCGCCGCCGCCGCCGCGCCCCCCTCTCGGACTGGAGGCCGGACTGCAGCGGCTCGGAGGCTGAGGCGGCGGCGGCGGCGGCAGCGGCGGGCGGGCAGAGGGGAGGGGGCCGTGGGCGGGGACTCCCCCGCTTCCTCCGGGCTCCCCGGCCGGGCTACAGCGACGGCCGCCAGGAAACCACGCTCTCCCCCGACCGGGAGCGCGGGGAGCGGAGGGGACCGGGGGAGGCTCGCCCGGGGGAGACGGCGCGGGCGGCGGGGAACAAGCTTAACTGCCGGCCTATCTTCTCCCCGGGGCCCTGGCCCCGGGGTGGACGCCCGAGCGCCGGCGCCGCCTCCTCCCCCGTGGGCGGTGATGGTACCTCCCGGCGTCCGGCGAGTGCCCGGGCCCAGGGGCCCCCTTCTCTCTGCCCCCGCGCACGCCGCCGCGCTCCGCCCCGCCACAGAGTCCCCGCCGGGCGAGAGCGGCTCCACATCCGGGTACTGGCGCACCCAAGGCCAGAGCAGCACGTCCTTTGAGGGATTAGGAAAGGGACCCTCAGTAACACTGCGGTGTACGGCTTTGACAAAGTCACGCAACTAGGGGGGTTAAGGAAGGAGAAGAAAACCCAGCCCTAAGCGTCTCCCCCTGGCCCTGTGAGAGTGCGCGTGCGCGCAGCCTGGAGCAGGGAGCAGTAGACGCCCCGCCCCAGTCTGGGGCAAAGGAGGGGCGGCTCCCCGCGGTCGCGGCGGACCGGTGGTGCGGCGTGTTCCATTGGCTGGGAGGGGAGGGGGCGGGGCACGACGTCTGGACAGCTTGGAGGTGGGGCTGGAGGAAGTGAGGCTCCGGATGCCGCCCGGGCTGCTGAAAAGGAGTCTCTCTGAGTCAGTCTTAATTCATTAAGTTCTAGAGTGGCCTGATTGTACTACGTGTGAATTTGGGATTACATAACATTTTAGGCTTCCTTTTTACGAGGCGAGGAATGGGACAGATTATGACACAGATTAAGGGAGACCTGTATTTCTGTTTATGTAAACTGAAAGCATTTCAGACCACCGTGGGTAAATCAGTGGTGTGTTTCTAAACTGAGCAGAATGGTTCCGAATGACGTGTGTCTTACCTTTATACGGAGTCAGAGGGGTAAGTAGACCCCAAACAGCACAAGTCCCTGGAAAAAGTTTACAAGCCCCTTACCCATTGTAACAACCCCTGTCCGTTACAGAATTCGGCCCCCAGTCACAAAACACAGCAAAATAAGAGGGTTGTAAAAGTGGTCTGACCTGCCTTTTGAGAAACCTGTATGCAGGTCAGGAAGCAACAGTTAGAACTGGACATGGAACAACAGACTGGTTCCAAATAGGAAAAGGAGTACATCAAGGCTGTATATTGTCACCCTGCTTATTTAACTTATATGCAGAGTACATCATGAGAAATGCTGGGCTGGAGGAAGCACAAGCTGGAATCAAGATTGCCGGGAGAAATATCAATAATCTCAGATATGCAGACAACACCACCCTTATGGCAGAAACTGAAGAGGAACTAAAAAGCCTCTTGATGAAAGTGAAAGAGGAGAATGAAAAAGTTGGCTTAAAACTCAACATTCAGAAAACTAAGATCATGGCATCTGGTCCCATCACTTCTTAGGAAATAGATGGGGAAACAGTGGCTGACTTTATTTTGGGGGGGCTCCAGAATCGCTGCAGATGGTGCTGCAGCCATGAAATTAAAAGACGCTTGCTCCTTGGAAGGAAAGTTATGACCAACCTAGATAGAATATTAAAAAGCAGAGACATTACTTTGCCAACAAAGGTCCGTCTAGTCAAGGCTATGGTTTTTCCAGTGGTCATGTATGTATGTGAGAGTTGGACTGTGAAGAAAGCTGAGTGCCAAAGAATTGATGCTCTTGAACTGTGGTGTTGGAGAAGACTCTTGAGAGTCCCTTGGACTGCAAGGAGATCCAACCAGTCCATCCTAAAGGAGATCAGTCCTGGGTGTTCATTGGAAGGACTGATGCTGAAGCTGAAACTCCAATACTTTGGCCACCTGATGCAAAGAGCTGACTCGTTGGAAAAGATCCTGATGCTGAGAGGGATTGGGGGCAGGAGGAGAAGGGGACAACAGAGGATGAGATGGCTGGATGGCATCACTGACTCGGTGGACATGAGTTTGAGTAAACTCCAGGAGTTGGTGATGGACAGGGAGGCCTGGCGAGCTGCAATTCATGGGGTCGCAGGGTCAGACACGACTGATTGAACTGAAGAGTGGTCTCTGGCTGCTTTTACTTAAATGACATTATGGTGTATGGGTTTTAAAATAAGTGGTTCACAGCCCAGCACGGATGTGAAGTCAGCTTGCTGTCACTTTTCCTGAGTGTCAAGGGAGCAAGGAGTACTCTGGCCGAATCAAATAATGAGATGTAAAGTATAACCAATGAATAGTAATGTAGCGAAATAAATATTCTTACTTTTTCATGTTCAAAACAGAAAAATACCAATATGGAATCCCAAAGACCAAACAGAGCTTATTTTAGAAAATTAACAGTTAAAGTATTTGTTCAAAATAGACCAGCCTAATATCTAGTCTATTTTAAAGCGTTTTCATCCTGGAAGTGTTAAATGTGCTATTCTCTCTCTGCCAACTCTCCTCTCTTGGGATCTTTACTGGTTTCCTTCTTTTCTTGTTAACCAGTTAAATTAATCACAAGACATGCATTAATAAGTTGATTAAAAGATTTTAGAAAAAAATATAGCCACAGCACAAGTTATACTGTGGTTGACTTTGTAAACTAAGTTAACTCAAGAAAAAGTCAACTGCATGGAAGCAACCTAGATGCCCATCAGCAGACGAATGGATGAGGAAGCTGTGGTACATATACACCATGGAATATTACTCAGCCATTAAAAAGAATTCATTTGAATCAGTTCTAATGAGATGGATGAAACTGGAGCCCATTATACAGAGCGAAGTAAGCCAGAAAGATAAAGACCATTACAGTATACTAACACATATATATGGAATTTAGAAAGATGGTAACGATAACCCTATATGCAAAACAGAAAAAGAGACTCCGATGTATAGAACAGACTTGTGGACTCTGGGAGAAGGCGAGGGTGGGATGTTTCAAGAGAACAGCATCGAAACACGTATATTATCTAGGGTGAAACAGATCACCAGCCCAGGTTGGGTGCATGAGACAAGTGCTCGGGCCTGGTGCACTGGGAAGACCCAGAGGGATCGGGTGGAGAGGGAGGCGGGAGGGGGGACCGGGATGGGGAATACATGTAAATCCATGGCTAATTCATTTCAATGTATGACAAAACCCACTGCAATGATGTAAAGTAATTAGCCTCCAACTAATAAAAATAAATGAAAAAAAAGAAAAAGTCAACTGAGATGCTAAGACTCTTAATAGCGCAACCTTGCATTTTACATCAAGTCCAGTATATTGATAATGACTTTCCATATGTTTGTGTTTATCTCACCCAGGAGCTTTATACTTATGAGGACATCATGTAATATTTAGATAGGCATTTATTCTCAATACCAGAGATTAGTTATAGTAGTTTTGAATTTTATTTGCCCTTAAAATGGAAATGGGTGTTAAGAAGTGATCTAGCCCAGCGGTTTTCCTTTCTTCCTGTTTTTAACCTGTAGTATGACCTATATTGGGAGCTAAGTACCCTAGATGACATAATAGAGCAAGGCTGGAAGTCTTGGCTAGAGTCTTCCTGTAGTCTTCCCTGCCTCCTACCTTTGCTCTATAGAAACTCATCAAAACTTTTGGAGTACCACTGAGCACAATTAATCAAATTGACCTAATCCCCACATTTGATAAGAAGAAATGAAACCAGCACTAATTAAGTAACTCATCCAGGATTTCAGAGAAAGTTAAGAAAAAAGCAAAAGCTATAACCATGTAATACTAGATGAATTTCTATATAGTAAACACTCTCCTATACATCCATTACCTTGTTAAATACACTGTGAATTTATAACACTATCATGTCACTAAGACTACTTCAAGGCCCTTAAATAAGTTTGCCAGTGGTCTCTAAATGTTTTTGTTCATGCATCCTTTTCAGTGCAAAATTTTTGAACATGTACTTCCAATATGTGTAATTATTATTGTATAACATATATGTAGTAGCATGTTACATGTTATGTAACATACTCAAAAATAGACATTACAAGAGGATAAGATACCAAATAAATAGAAAAGTTTTCATACTTTCTTTCACACCAGTGGTTCATCTTCTGCATCCCTAGATGTTTAAGTTAGTCTCCAAAGTAGGCACACCGCACTTCAAAAAACACTGTGTCATACGTGTGTTTGTCATGTTTAGAACATATGCACATCTCCAAATATGCCAGTCATTTTTCATATATGTAGGTTTATCTTCCTATTTGTTCAGAAACATTTAGGGTATTCAAAAATAGTACAATTTTTATTCCAACCATAAGTAAGGTAAATAAATCCTTGCTCCAGAAATGTAGTAATTTTGTCATTCACCTTCTACTCTACTACTATGAATGCATTTGTGGCTGCTTTGTAGTCAGCAAAAATGTATAATATTTGGAAAATAACTTTATCAGCTAGAGTAACACCATCTGCTATCATGGACACCAAAGCACATAAAGGTTCAATACAATTTTTTGTTTCCCATTCATATAATAGCCTAATTCTTTCCTCCACATGGCCATCCAGAGACTTATTCTGTTATTCCACCATCCCCTAAAGTTATCTATGTCACACTTAAGAAAGTGGAGGAAAAGTAGAGAGGGTTGCATACTCACTTTTCAAAAGTCTTGGACCCAAACAGCATATTTCACTCAGTTATATACCATCGCCTAGAAGTCAGCCACATGTAACTTAAAGGGAGGAAAAATGTAGCTTAGTTGGGTGCCCAAGAAGAAAAGTATATCAGCTAGTGTCCACTTAGGAAAACACAAAACATGCTAAATACTCAGACAAGGAATTTAATGAATGCAGTCAATTGTTTGCAAAAGTTTTCAAAGGGATACAGAAGCAAGATGAGATTAGAAAATACTGGAGAATACTATCCCTCCTGACTAGAAGAGAAAATAATGTTACCAAGGACCCATGACCACTGTGCCGTTGAAGCTATTGGTGTTGAAACGACTACTATTTTGCAGGAAGTCAGGGGCCCATGCTCACTGAAGCTTCAGGAGCCCAGGAGCCCAAAGTCACCTACCATTGTCACTGCCACAGCCAAAATGCCATGAGTGCAAGACACACTCTGCTGTTGCAGCCCCTGAAACCGCACTGCTTGAGTAGGAACCCAGAAGCTGCTGTAAGCTCCATCTCAGAAACAGGAAACCAAAATGACTTCTCTCATCAGTGATCTCTCACGAATAATAATAGTCTACCCTCTGGGGTACTCAGCACCATTCTCACTCTACTGTACTTAAATACTTACAGGTAGCAGAGAAGTAACATCACACATCTGCCAAACAGGATGCAACTATTCTATTGAACATGAAGATACCTGCACCGTCTCTCTCTCCCCCAAGAAGAGAAGACACAAATTCCCGTCTATTGCCATATTTGTATCTGAGAGATGTTAATTCCAGTTCAGCCACAG